TACCACTCCAGCATCACGTCTGTGATCACATCTACCAGTGTTACCCCAGCCATCATGATAACACTGATCAATAGATTCTTGGGATCCGGAGCAACTAAGCCATTTAAGCCATATTTGACCAGTTCCTTTGACGCTAGCAGTTATTGCTGTAACTGCCTTGGAGTAATTCAACGTGTGACACACCACGTAAGCAGCGTATATGTCCCAGTTACCATCATTGCATATGGTACCCCAAGTACCTTTGTATCTTACTTCTACATGTCCCTCGTTAGGAGTCTTGCCATCCACTAGACGAACACCTATACATCAGACGTTGCGTTCTAAAATTGGTTAAATTGAAATTTATAAATTCATGAGTACTACTGATCGATCTTATTCTCTCTTAGGTTTTTACTTTGCATGTATTCAGCATAGCGTATTACTTCATTTGGATTTGRCGAGCACGGTGATATTCTTTTTTCCATTTAGGTTTCATATTTAAATGGAGATTCAAAAATTCCTCTCATGGTGCAGAATTGTGCAACACATGGAATACCTTTAAAAAAATATATATTTCATACCCATCCTTGGAAAATAAAGTGCCTTTTCCACTCTTAACCACTGATATAGTTTAATAAATCCCTGTATCTTCATTTTATTTTATGACATTTCTTTACATGGTGTTAAATAACATGGATGTACAAACAGAAAACTAGATTTCAAAAAAATATCATATACATATGACTAACCCTTCATACACGTCACTCCAACGTCACTACTGTGAATACAGCCTGCATTACCCCATCCATTGTGACTGCAGTCTGCAATCGACGTTTCTCTTCCTGTACAACCAACCATTTTTTTCTCACCCATATTATACCCTTGACTGGTGTAAAGTTAGTGGTTATGTATTCCTGTACTCCAGGGTATCCAAGCATACGACACACCACCTYAGCGTCTTTCATGTCCCATTCATATTTACATGCAGTACCCCACTGACCATGGTACCTGACTTCAAGTCGACCAGAATTGGCTAACCTTCCTCCAGCTAAACGAACTTGAACTGGTGGAGGATCTGTGGATTGGTACCAACATCATTTAGGTAAAAGTACAACTGACACTTGAAAAAGTGTTTGAAATAGAATCAGTAGAGCTTGACTAAAGCTCTTATCTGATCCAACAAATGAATTATTTAGATGATTGGTTTTGATGTCATGATAATTGAATGATTAGAGTAAAGTAGAGATTTGTCTTTCTTACCTTCATTTGTCTGACAAACCACATCAACAAGATATTCATTCGAGCAGGAATGCTTCCACCATCCTGGGTGAGCACACTCTGCTATCGACCTTTTTTCTACCACTGCATCCCACATCATACATGAGCCCTCTTCTTGGTGTCTCTCCTTCAATGTACCGAATTGCGTGTTCAGCTGCTTTGTAACCAAGCATTCTGCAGATCACCTGAGCATCTCGTATATCCCACCACGCGTTCCACCAAGAATCACAGACTACTCCCCAGGTCCCTCGATACTGGATTTCTACTTTGCCAGTATGGTTTTGATCTCCAACCAGACGAACTTT